ACTGCCCCCCCCTGCCAACCTGGCCGCCCCCAACTGCCTCACCTGCCGGCCTGGTCACCCCCAACTGTCCCCCCTGTGGGCCTGGTCACCCCACACAGCCTGCTGTTCAGTTGTTTGGTCTCCCCTTACTAACCCCCCTGCTGGCCTGGTTGCCCCACGCAGCCTGCTGCTCAGTCGTTTGGTCGGCCCTCACTAACCCCCCTGCCAGCCTGGTTGCCCCACACAGCCCGCTGTTCAGTCGTTTGGTCGTCCCTCACTAACCCCCCTGCTGGCCTTGTCGCCCCACGCAGCCTATTAGGTCGTCTGTTCGGTTGTTTCGGTTGCGATGGTCGTTTAGGCTTTTATATATATATTCAGTTTGAACCTGAATCAATACTGGATACTCCTTGTTTTTCATAGCTGGAGAAAGTCTCAATACTAAAGTGCTAAGTAGCAGCATATGTTTCAGTGACAGTTTTCATAGTGTAGGATTGATGTCTCCTTAAGTAATACCAAAGCAAGCCCTTTAAAGTAACAGACTGAAAATGTGCCTGACCTAAATAGTTCCCAAGTTAAAAAATTCAGTTTACAGTGTTATAGTTTGCCAAAGGATGCTGGCCAGATTGATTCTCTTTTAATTTTCAATCAAAATGAATTAAAGCTGTCAATGAGAACACAAGGGTGAAAATGCTAAAATCAAACTACAAAAATCATTAGTCAAACTGTGGTCTCAGTTTCTAATGACTTAAATATCATTGGAACAAATAAGAGCAAATACTTGATTTGGTTCAGTACTTTATAATTCATAAGTTACTTTTTTTTTTTTTAATATATTTTATTGAATTTTCACAGAGAGGAAGGGAGAGAGATAGTTAGAAACATCAATGAGAGAGAAACATCGATCAGCTGCCTCCTGCACATCTCCCACTGGGGATGTGCCCGCAACCAAGGTACATGCCCTTGACCGGAATCAAACCTGGGACCTTTCAGTCCGCAGGCCGACGCTCTATCCACTGAGCCAAACCGGTTTCGGCCATAAGTTACTTTCATATAAAATTTCATTTAATACAAATGGTTAGCTGGTATTATGTAAGTTAAAGGAAAAAGTAACCTTCACATCTTGAAATGAAACAGGATCTTGTCCATGGATTTTCATTAGTTCCTGTATGGCCTGTATTTAACAGAAATAAATCTGTAAATAAAAAATGAAATACAGAACAGCCCCTTTCCCCCCCCCCCCAAAAATTCCCATGGCCTCTTTCTAGTTCCAATTACTTTCCTATCAAACCACAAGCCTCATCGTTTCAACCACTCTTGCCAAAATTCTCAACATCCTTGACCTTGCATATCACTACTCAGCAAAACCTAATTACTGGGTCAGTGTAACCATCAACCTTTCTAGACCTACACCTTAGCTATTGAGAGCTTCAGAAAGAAAGTATACAAAACTACAGATTATTGCTACAACATAGGAATATTCTCCAACCTTAGATGAGCCTTTCACGTGGCCTAGCAATTATTCCATTATGTCTTCCCATTACCCACGAATGCTGTTCATACCTTCCCTATTCTTTAAGATACCCAATCCACCACCTCCCCTCCCACCCTACACTTTGCCATCTACTTGACAACTAACATTAGATATCAAAAATGAAAAGATGTGAAAAAGAATATTCATTTTCAGGGATAATGATGCATGTATGGAAAACTTAGTAGCAATATGATTGCTTTATGGTAGCTTAGGTGTAACTCATGACTTCTTCACTGTAGTGAGGAAATCTCAAAAAAATTTTTCAATGTATTTTATAGAAAAAATCTGCATACAGGTGGACACACACACACACAGTTCAAAATCATGTTGTTCAAGGGTCAACTGTATTGTGATTCAATTTGACAAACATTTTAGCTGAGTCATTCACTAGAAAATGTGAAGCTTAAACATTATTTTTAGAAAGAAAAAGGAGAGGGGAAAAAACACTGATGTGAGAGCAAAACATGAATTGGCTGCCTCCTGCATCGACTGGTTGCCTCCCTTTACCAGGAATCAAGCCCTGCAACCCAGGAATGTGCCCTGACCAGGAACTGAACCAGCAACCCTTCAGTGCATGGGATGACGCCCAACTGAGCCACACCAGCCAGGGCACTGAGTAGGTATTTTAAACCAAATGGTATATGTAACATATATGTTAAGGAACAATGACTCATTTACATGAATGAGACTTACCCTAAAGAAGTAATTAAGAGAAAAGACATTCAGATATCCCTTGTTCTCGATATCAAGCAATTTGAAAATATATTGCAGAGCAGCAGGTTCTTTTCGGTTTTCTAATGCAAGAACAAAGTCCAGGTAGGTCTTATAGTCCTATAGAAAAGAAAAGAAAATTTATTAGAGACCATATTTGGAATTAACTTTTTGAGTGTC